CTTATTAATCTTTTACCCTCACCCACTACAAATCATATTTCACCCTATCAATATCTCTATCAACAACCACTAAATTATACTTTTCTTATAGCATTTGGCTGCCTATGCTATCCATGTCTTCCCACTAAATTACACTCCAAGTTAGATCCCCGTTCCAATCCATTTGTTTTTCTTGGTTGTGCTCCAAATTACAAATGCTACAAATGTCTAGATCTTATTACCCGTCGCATCCATATTTCTCGACATGTTTGATTTCATGAAACCATATTTCCTTACTAACCCTACACTACTAAGCCACCTCCCATGTATTCTACCCAGCAAGTGTCTCCTCTTACTCTTGTTCCATCTCAATACATCACTTCAGCTTCCACTACTTCTCACCAAGCCACAACTCGTGACACAGAACATGATATTCCATCATCCTCTGTTCCTACATCCAACCAAACTCCAAGTGCTATTTCTACATCTACCTAATCTTCAAGTGTTATTTCTGCACATCTATCTTCATCTTCCTTCATTCCACCTCCTTATTATCCCATGATCACACGTTTCAAAACAGGGAATCTAAAACCGAAATTCATCTTCAACTTGCAACTTCAGCTTGTCAATCAAACACCTACTTGTTTCTCTCAAGCTAACAAGGATCCTGCGTGGCCTTTAGCTATGTCAGAAGAATTTGAAGCCTTGCAAAAACAATGTATGTGGTCTTTAGTTCCACCTACCTCTTATCATAATGTTCTCGGTTGTAAATGGATCTTCAAAACTAAGCATCATTCGGATGGTAGTGTTGCTCGTCGCAAGGCCCATTTAGTTACTCAAGGGTACAAGCAAAAATTTGGTTTAGATTATCATGCCACTTTCAGTCCTGTCCTAAGTTCCCTACCATTCACATTTTTTTCACAGTCGCAACTACATTCAAGTGGCCAATCTATCAATTGAATGTATCCAATGCTTTTCTCTATAATCCCCTCGATGAAGAGGTTTCCTGGATTCTAAGATTTATAATTTTTTATAATGGTTGTCATCTTTATAAAGCCCTATATGGACTCAAGCAAGCACCTAAACAATGGTTCTCCACATTCTCATCGCATTTACGCGATTATGGCTTTGTTAGTAGTACAGCTGATCCCTCTTTATTATTGTGTCATCATGGATCCATCCAATTATACATTTTAAAATATGTTGACGATATCTTGCTTTCCGGAAATGATTTGGCAGCTATTTCCAAACTTACTTAGAATTTACACATCAGAATTTTAATGAAAAATCTTGGATTTGTTAACTATTTTCTTGGGATTCAGATTCTTCACACTCCCAATGGGATTCATCTACTGCAATCACACTAGATCTCCGAACTTATGGCAAAAATAGACATGAGAGATTGCAAATCAGTTCAAAGTCCTTTACCATCTAAGTTGCCTCAACTTAATTCTGAATCAGAAAATGTTCTCTCAACCAGAATTTTACAGGCAACTAGTCAGTTCACTACAGTATTTGACAATTACTCGCCCTAATATCACATTTGTTGTAAATCAGTTATGCCAAAATATGCATCAGCCATTTTTAGTTCATTTTCAGCTGCTAAATAGACTTTTAAGTTATTTGCATGGCACTGGTTCATATGGGCTTCCTCTCACCCAACACAAGCTTGAATTAACAGCATTTTTATATTCCGATTGGGCTGCAGATAGATTACATAGACAATCTATTACATGTTTTTGTGTCTACCTTGGTCAGACCTTGATTTCCTGGTGCGTCAAGAAGCAACCTACTATTGTCAGATCATTTACCGAAGCAGAATATAAAGCTCTAGCTGCAGTCGCAAGTGAACTTATGTGGTTAAGAAGATTATTGGCTGATTTTCATATTTCAGTTGCTCAACCTACTTCCCTATTTTGAGATAATATTTCTGCACTTACCTTAGCAAATAATCCGATTTTCTATGCTTGAACAAAGCATATTGAGATTTATTATCATTTCATTAGAAATTGCATCAAGTCCAAACACATTATTGTGCATCATATTGCTTCTCAAGATCAACCTACATATATGTTTACAAAATCCCTTCCACCAGATTTTTTCAGCTTCGAAGCAAGTTAACAATTCATGAACCTATTGTTAACTTGAGGGACGGTGATAAGAGATAAATACTTATTCATAACTTATCATAAAGTGCTCATATCCATAACTGTGTTGGCAATGCACCTTTTCAGAAATTCTGCCATCCATGTCTTCTCTGGATCAATCATAGCCTTTGCTGAACTACTAACTTGCTGCTCCTTTATACTATATATATTCAATGCTTGTATTATATGCTTGATATATACACAAATGTAATGAGCTTTGCATTGTCTCTGTTCTTGTTTTTCATTATGTAGTTTTTTATTTCTGTTTGATGTAAATGCAGAAGTAGTTCATCAACTACCAAATCTCCTTACAGAATTTTCTTGATACAACTAGCGATCTTGTCACATGGCAAATCTTTTTCAACAATAAAATTCTAATTTTGCCTCTTTAAATAATCTATATAAAAATTTTAAAAACCTCATACATTTTAATTTCTATCATCTTATGTGAGAGTACTATACTTTTTGAATAATTTTTTTATAATTCTAAAATATGCATACATAAGTACTTTGCATTGTGTGGTTAAACTTTCATCTGAAATCAATTTGCAAATTTTATTGAAGATTATTTTTCTTTCATTCCAAATCAAGAAAAAAAAATATATTTGTGATTTGAAATATCCACTTTTGAAAGTAACTAAGTGCTCTTCCTGTTCTTGAAGTATGTGTTTGGCATTACAAGATCATATACAGCTACAAAATCAAGTATTACTTCATCAAATGCATTTATATCTCCTATTTCATATCAGCAATGATTGCTCTCATAGGCCATCCTTTAGAGACAATATGCCTATTTAAATCGATAACAATAATTATCCTCCCTTCTCATATATAATAGTTTATTTGCTTCTTCCCATGACTGATTTTTTAAAGTATATCATAGTTGAACTTAAGATGCCTAAGTATTAACTACATTCCTAATTGATAGTTAACTAAAATAAATCACTACCCATATTTATCTTAACAATTTCATATTTATACTCGCCAATCATTACTATCCTTACCAATTATGATTGCTACTCTTCCCAACATACAATAGCCTATGGAGTTCAGCGATATATTTAACTTTTTTTTCTTTTCCAATTAGTTTCTTGCAATAATATTTGACTTCAAAATATCGTTTCCTTTTTTTTTGTTCTTCTCGTTCAAAATCCCAAATTACATGCGGCAAATCTTAATATTTCTTTTAAAGATTGCCTTGTGTGCATTTCAACATAATTAGGTTAAGTTATGATGTGATAATTATGGGTAACATTCTAGTCAACATCACCATACTTAAGAAAAATTATGATATAATGCATATATTAGAAAAGTTTGCCTTCTTCTCCAGGAAAATTTCTAGTTACAACTTTCAAATTTGAATTCATGACATTAATTTTGGCATGAATGTCATGATGAATCATGGCACAAACATCAATCCTCAACTTTTATGATTAGGCTTGCTACCTTTATCAACATATATAACCTTACAACATATGTAAGCATTTTATCTTATTTCTTCCTTTTGTATGACAGATACTACTACTTGTAGTGATTCATAGGATATAGACATTACTTTTAATGAATAATTACTTTCCTCTTGCATGTGAAATATGACAAGCCGTCTCTACCAAAGGAACCAATTCATCTCTCTCTCCTTCTCCCTCTTGAAGATTCACCACCAACTCTCTACAACCTCCCTAGTACAGGTTCTCATTCGCTATTATTAACTTCTTTCCTCTTCTTCATATAATAAACTATGATCTATTTCAATTGAGAATTCTTTCCAATTGTTCTATATCACAGGCAGAGTATAAAATTTAGAGAGAATTTTATGGAAAAAAGTGAAAAAAATTACCAAGAAGATAAAACTAAAAAAAAAAATCAAGGTTTTTTAATAGCAAAAAAGGATATTTGTAGCATGCACCAAAAGTTATGAAACTTAACCACACCCTCTCGCTACTCCCAACCAAAAAAGAGAAAAAGAAGGCCAATGAAATACCCTTGATATGAAATCAAAGTCCGGGGAAGGACTTTTATCCAGAATTATCAAATGGACAACTGAGGGTGTAATAGGTCATTAAAACTAACAAAATATGGGTTCCAACAACAAAATCATCGTTGTCACAAAAAAAAAAAAAAAGCAGCATGGAGATAATGCATGCATGCTTTTTCTTCTTTAAAAAGTATCCTTCAATTCGAGGTGTTGCTGGGTCAATTAAATTACTCATATGAATCACAAATCTTATCACAATCTTGGACAAAACTTTTTTTGGGCAGTCATACCAAGCCCATAGCATATATCATTGTGAGTAGATCGACAAAATAAAATAACCTCTTTATGCAAATATGCAGTAAAAGAACACGCCCGCAACTCTGATGATGCAAACATCACTACAACTCTCAAAAATCCATGAAAAGAGGGCTTTTCCTCAACATAGTTAATGCTATACAGCATTGAAGCTAATCATAAGAATGACCAAGGAGGTCATAATGTAAGAATTGATTTGATAACCAAAGAGACAATGCTATTTTTTATCAATTTATATAACAACACAAGCATTTAATGTACATTTTACTTGCCCTACGATGATATTTGTGAACAAATTCTTTTCTCCCTAGAGGATGAGCTTATAGCTATAACAGCCACCAAAAATGTAATGAGGTTTCTAAACAACACCTATTACTTTTCAACCTTAAAATCTCAGCAACATAACCACATCTGATTACTCTCCTATGGAACATGGAAGGATTCGCTTCAAACGGGTCCTTCCCAGTCAGATTCCGATGAAGAGAAACACAGAACTTCAAATTCGCGTATTATTTGAAACATATTTCCAACGGGCGGGATACAGAAGCCTGAAACTTAAGTAATAGAGTCAGAGGAAAGCTCACGTTGCTCTTGGAAGTTGTAGTTGCCCTGAAGGCGGCATCCGAGCCGATCGATGGCCTGCCCGGTCTCCCGAATCCAGAATCCGACGGTGTAGATCGCCCTTCCGAGGGTTCCCATAATCCACGGCGAAGCACTTCGCCGGAAGTGATGCCGGTTTTTGGAGAGACGACAACAAAGCTAGGTCTAAGCAACGAGGAGGCTGGCAGAGTGGCTGGAGGTAAAGGAGAACAAAGCCCTCTTAGATCCATAGCCCTGTTTTTATTGGCTATCGGATCATGTCGTGGTTTGGGTACCAAAAACTACTGGTTAAACTTTTCGTGTGAAATAACCCGGGAGTTGTGAACTTAGTTATGATAACCTGTAACCTGTGTAAGTCAATATGGGAACTGAACGGATCAAACAAGTCAACATGTGTACACATCTAAAGCGATCCTTAATTAGGTCAATATTTAACTGAAAGACCTATTTTTTATTGGGCAAGAAGGAGTATCATATACAGGTGCCTTTGAGACCATTATTACCTATATCTACACTAAAAATTGTAATAAAATTATTGTAAAAAAAAATTATTGGGGTATTATATCATAATCTCTTTCTCATAAAAAATTTTGACACAAATGGTATCATTTCAGCATTTTTTTTTACAATTTTATTTTTAAAAATCATAATTTTTTATTGATTTTTAGAAAATTCTATGATGAAAAATAGTTATTTTTTTAGAAATTTTTACAATGAAAAAAACCTTAAGAGATATTCAACCAATCAAAAAATTTAAAGAAAAAAAAAAGATAAGAGAAAGATAGAGGGAATATGGGGTGTCGACTAAAGTTTTGTTTGGGCCATCTTTTTTATTGCTTTCTATAGCTATTTTTTAGTATAAAATTTTATAGTTTAATAGATTTTTTTATAAAAAAATTATTTTATAAAGCAGTAAGAAAGTTATTCCAAATAAAATTTAAAAAAGAATAGAGGTATTTTTTAGGCGCTTATGGGAGGGAGGTCTCTTACTTCTCCAAAAGAAAAAAAAAAAGATGCTGTTGATATTTTTGACTCAATGAAATGGAGCTGCTTTTGTCTGAGTAGAATCTTTAGTTTGGACTTATGCAATAAAGGGTGCATTAATAATAGTGCTATTAGCATCTTCTCAACTTCCAACATTCATCTATATGTAAAGTGATTGTTTTCTCTTTTAAATTATTGATATGAATAAAGAGACATCTCTATCCTTAAATTCAATTTTGTTTGAAGAAAATTTTTTGGGAGTTTTACATACATACCACTTAATACTATTATATTTACATATTTAACATCTAAAACTTTAATATTACATAAATATCACCCATAGTTCATTTTCATACAAAATATGAGTGGTAGAAATGAAATATATGAGTGGTAGGAAAGAAATATAAGTGGTATATTTGATATTAAAATAATATAGGGTGGTATGGATGTAATATTAAAGTTTTAGGTGTTAGATATGTAAATAGGATGTTATAAAGTGGTATGTATGTAAATTTCCCAAATTTTTTATGTATCTCTCTTTTATTAAGTTTGGTGAAATATTTGATTTAGGTTTCGTTTGGAGCAACATTCTTACTGTTTTTTAAAACAGTTTTTCAATACAAAAATATTTCGTTCAAGAAATTTTTATTAAAAAGCTAGTTTAGAAAGCTATTGGAGGAAGAATGCAAATCCTTTATCACCTATTAATCAAGGGGTTCTAATTGATGGAGGGATTACATAAGATGTATGCATAAGTGAACTAATGGTGCACATAGCACATTGTTATAAATGAAATAATGTGATTGCAAAAGTTAATATATTGATCATAACATGCACTACTAGAGTAATATTATGGTCTTATTTGAGACGATTTTCTTACTGTTTTATAAAATTGTTGTAGATAAAGTAAATTTTTAAAGCTGTTGTAAAATGCAGCTTCTTAGTACCAAATTTTTTTGAAAATAGTGAAAAAGCAATTATTAAATAAAAATTATAGTTGCAATCTGAAAGCAAACCAGTAGAAAAGTTGTCTGAAAAAAGAAGCCAATATCTTTTCAATCAGCTTTAATGAATCATAGGATCGAAGTCCAACTACTAGAATATCATAGCTTTATGATTGACTTTTATGAACATGGACCCCTTCATTGCAACATAGTCGATCGAGGCATCTTTTAGGAGAAGCAAATAACATAGTGGTGTAAGTGACCTAAGAACAAAATATTCTGAAGTTATTGAATGTTCATATGTGGATGACATTAAGTATGTTTTATTGAATATTAACATTTTTTAATTATATGAATAATTTGATTTGGTTTGTGACTATTATTATGATTTATGCATACTTGTTGTGATTTTATTATTTGTGATTATACAAGTTGTCTTTGAATGCATTGTGATGTATTATATTATTGTTGCGTTCTGGAGTATTCGCGGCGGTAGAGAAATATAGTTTAACGTCTTAGCGTTGTACGAAGATCCAGCACACAATCAGATAAGTGAGAGGGCTGGAAGACGGTCGGGTTTACGAGGTTTACGCAAATCAATTGACTGTTTAACCCTTTCCACGTAAGCAACCGAACACATCGTTGTGATCGAATTCCACAGAGAATAATTCCTCCCCTACGAGAGGGAGGTCTCTTACATCTCCAAAGGAAAAAAAAGATGCTGTTGATATTTTTGACTCAATGAAATGGAGCAGCTTTTGTCTGAGTAGAAGCTTTAGTTTGGACTTATGCAATAAAGGGGTGCATTAATAATAGTGCTATTAGCATCTTCTCAACTTCCAATATTCATCTATATGTAAAGTGATTGTTTTCTCTTTTAAATTATTGATATGAATAAAGTGACATCTCTATCCTTAAATTCAATTTTGTTTGAAGAAAAAATTTTATGTATCTCTCTTTTTAAGTTTGGTGAAATATTTGATTTAGGTTTCGTTTGGAGCAGCATTGTTACTGTTTTTTAAAACAGCTTTTTCAATACAAAAATATTTCGTTCAAGAAATTTGTATTAAAAAGCTAGTTTAGAAAGCTATTGGAGGAAGAATGCAAATCCTTTATCACCTATTAATCAAGGGGTTCTAATTGATGGAGGGATTACATAAGATGTATGCATAGGTGAACTAATGGTGCACATAGCACATTGATATAAATGAATGAATGTGATTGCAAAAGTTAATATATTGATCATAACATGCACTACATGAATATTATGGTCATATTTGAGGCAGATTTCTTACTGTTTTGTAAAATTGTTATAGATAAAGTAAATTTTTAAAGCTTTTGTAGAATGCAGCTTCTTAGTACCAAATTTTTTTTGAAAATAGTGATTAAATAAAATTATAGTTGCAATCTGAAAGCAAATCAGTAAGAAAGTTGTCTGAAAAAAGAAGCCAATATCTTTTCAGTCAGCTTTAATGAATCATAGGATCGAAGTCCAACTACTAGAATATCATAGCTTTATGATTGACTTTTATGGACTTGACCCCCCTTTATTGCGACATAGTTGAGGCATCTTTTAGGAAATTCAAATAACATATTGGTGTAAGTGACCTAAGGACAAAATATTCTGAAGTTATTGAATGTTCATATGTGGATGACATTAAGTATGTTTTATTTAATATTAACATTTTTTAATTATATGAATAATTTGATTTGGTTTGTGACTATTATTATGATTTATGCATACATGTTGTGATTTTATTATTTGTGATTATAAAAGTTGTCTTTGAATGCATTGTGATGTATTATATTATGATAAGATAGAAGACTTTTACTTATTTGCTACAAAATCTTAATGCTTTTTTAATGCATGTAAATTATCATTTTTTATTAATTATAGCATATGTTATGTACATTTCTTTCTATTTATTCATTAATATCATTTCTCTCCTATGAATTTCACTTATAAACCTCGTATTTATTATCAAAAACAGCAAGTCTTTATCCCACTACGTGTGGTCTGGAGAAAAAGACTAATGCTTTGTTTGGGATAGCTTTCTTATTGCTTTTTAAAGCAATTTTTTAGTATAAAAAATTTATTTTTTGTACTATAAATCTGTTTTAAGAAGCAGTAAGAAAGTCATCCCTAATGAAGCCTAAGATGATCCCCTACTATATTAAATAACCATTTTTGTCCCTCAATTTCTTAAAAAGAATCTAAATAGTTCCATTATGAGACCATTTTGGTTCATTTTTTAGAAGTTGAGAGACCAAAAAATTCTTTAGTAAAATTGCAAATTATTTTGATGTTTTATAAAGAATCAAAAGACCATATTAATCTTTTTCTCTACGATAATTGAATCATTTATATCATTTGCAAAAAACTAAAGTTTGGCTAAGGAACAAAATCCAACAAAAAACTTTAAACTCAAAAGGCAGACCACTTCTTTTGAAGGGGGATGAGAGTGAAGGCTTCTTTGTTTTTGCTCACTTCTTTTGAATCTGATCCTAAAGAGGAACTTAATTGGGCAAATAAAAATCTTTACTTTGTAATTAGATATTTCGGTTATGTTTGGGACAGCTTTTTAATTGCTTTTTAAAAGTAGTTTTTTAGTACAAATTATTTTTTTTCAAAAAGTTTTATATTAAAAAATTACTTTAAGAAGCAACAAAAAAAACTGTCTCAAACGAAGCTTCCATAGAGTATTATATTTTATATGAGTATTACTTGTTTCTTGGCAGGGATTTTTTTTTGTCATCAAAATCAATATGTAGTGTACAGTTTCCCACTATTTCATGTTTTTTTTTTTTTTCGATTTTGATCATTAGGGAAGTTTTATGCTAAAGTTTATCGACTTGGTATCATTTGGGATGACTTTTTTATTGTTTCTAAAACAGTTTTCTCGTAAAAAAAATTAATTATTAAGAAGCAGTAAGAACGTCCCTAGGCTTAGGCTTCGTTTGGGACGGTTTTCTTTCTGCTTCTTAAAGCAGCTTTTTAGTACTACTAAAAAGCTGCTTTAAGAAGCAGAAAGAAATTCATCCCAAACGAAGCCTTAGTTTGGGACAGCTTTCTTATTATTTTTTAAAGAAACTTTTCATACAAAAACATCTTTATAATAGTGAAAAAGCAATGGTCAAAAGCTGTCTGCAAAGAAATCATAATATTCTGGGAAGGAAACTATGTTGCTAATTTGGATTTACTTTACAAGCTCTTTGGATTATAATTTGGTGCGTACAGATCTTGTTATTTCTCAGTAGCCATTGCTTCAAAGAAGCATCAATTTT